CTTATAGGTCCTATAAAGGTAACTTTTAGTCCTTATATACTTATAGTTATTCCTAGAATAATAGTATAGCTTCTTTATAGCTAATAGCGCTATCTATACTAGTAGCTTATAATACTTTTAGGTTACTAGTAAACTACTCTCTAAACTTTTAGATACTAGCTAGGCAAATTATCTTTTTTAGAGTAGTAATATTAGTTATAAAGTTATATCCTTCCTAGAAACACTTAGCTTATAGAGAGATTATTATAAAAGCTATAGCTACTATAAGGGTAAGCTTAAGGTTGTCCTCTATACTAGTCTACTTAATAAGGGAGAGAAAGAAGGTGTAGCAAAGCTATTTAAGTAGCTCTAGGTAGGTCTAGTTATAGAATATATTTACCTCTAAGGGATAGGTGTCCTAATCTAAGTAATACACAACTTAATTCTAAGCATCTTATTAGGGTAAGGATAGTTATAGTTAGGTAGGTGCCTCTAGTTTCTATATATACACCTAGTAGAAGAAGATAAAGATCTTTTATAATAGTAGTGCATGCTAAAGGGAGAGGGCTTAATAGGTCTTAAGAGGATATTATAGGATATTATATATATCCTCTTATATTACCTAGATCTAGGTATATTAAGAGGTTTTTATAGTTAAATTTTGCTATATACGCACTATACTTTTAATAGTAGAGTAGAGATAGTATAGGGTAAGGTCTTATAGTGCTATTAGGGTTTGTATATATTAGAGACCTTTATCCTAAGTTATAGGTAAAACCTCTAGGAACTAGGTGTAGGTAAGCTATAGGTTAGTCTATATAGCATCCCCTTAAGGTATAGTATTAATATAATCCTTCTACTTCTTCTAGGCCTAATAGGTTACGCTTTCTAGTTACGCTTAAAGCCACTCTAATAGGCCTAGAGATATATTTCTAGATATATAGGTAGTGTCTTCCTCTAGGGTGTCTTATAGCTAGTGCGTAGTAGGTAATAGTTATATTTACTTATTAGTAGGTATAGAGGGAGCTAGGGTGCTAGTTATCTAGAAAGGGATTACTTTAAAAAAGTAGTTTATATTTAGGCTACTAGCCTTACCTAAAGTCCTAGTAAAGTATTACTAGCTAAAACCTAACTATATAAGGTTAGTAATATCCTCTAGAGTATTAGAATACTTAGCTTTAGGCAGATTGTGTGCTTTACGTATATGCTCCCTTATAGTCTTATAGGCACTTTTCTTAGTATAGATATACCTATAAGATTTATAGATTATATATATATATAATTTAAGAAAGGTAATTTTATTAAGAGGGCTACTATCTAGTTTAGAGAACTAGAAGTTAGTATAGGCTAACTTAAGTTAGGTAGTCTTGTATAGCTTATCTACTTCTACTTAAAGCTAGATATAGTCCTTAGGTACAATATCTTAACTATAATATTTGTTAAAGTATTTTTTAATATAGCTAGGTAGGATAATAGTTCTATATAAAGCGTAGATAAGGATCTTATAGACTTTATTTAGGTTAAGATAGTAGGAGAGTAAGGATATAGTAGAGGATATTTTAGAATATAGAAATAATAGAGATATAATAGGTAGTATTAAGGGAGATAATACTACAAAACTATAGCTAGAATAAGGAGTGTATAGTATAAGGATTCCCCTTACTAGGTAGATTTCTATATACCTGCGTTAGCAAATTATTAGCACTAACTAACCTTAGTATAATAATTTAGCCGCGTGTTACGCTAGTAACCCTACTAGCTACTCCTAACTACTTAACCTGTATACAAGACAGCTTTATAGCACTTTTCCTAGACACTACTACCTATACTATAACCTAAGGGACTCTAGGATTGTCTCTAGTAGAGATTAAGGGCAATACTAACCTTTCTTACCTAGTCTATAGTGTGTTTAATAAGGTAGACTAGGATAAACTAAAATTCTACTTTATTACCTATATAGTAGAGCCTATCTAAGTATTTATTATATATAACCTAGACACTACACTAAAATAGATATATTAATATATTAGCAAGGACTAGCTTTTATAACTTATTAATAATATCTATAAGGAAGCTATTAGCGTAGTGCTAGATTCCTTTAATAAAAATGCTATAAAACACACCTATACCTATAAAGAACCTATAACTTGCTAAGTTAATAAGTAACTTAAGGAGAAGTTTAATATTACTATATTAGAGGCTATTATAAATATATAGGACTTTATTAAAGCTAAGTAAGAATATATTATATATAATTCTACTAAGTAATAATACTAAGCGTTTATAAAGTTATTATATAGTATTAGTATAAAGGAAGTTGCTAAAATAATACACTAGATAAGTATAGTAGCTATAGTTAACTATTTGCAGGATTAGCGCGTTATTTTAGATACCTAGCAAGAACTTTATTAAGAGGGCAAGAGGCTCTTTGCAAATATAGGGGTGTAGGTGCTAGGGCTAATAGACGCTAGTATAATAGAATATGCCATAGGTAATAAAAGTATACTAGTAACCTAGCTTACCTAGATACGTAGCGTAGGGTAGGGAATAAGCCTTACACTTATAGGAATTAAGGTTACAAGCTTTTATTAGCTATTAGCTATAGTAAAGTAGAGTAAAATAGCTAATATCTTAGGAGATATATAGTACTAGTAGGTAATAGTAGCACTATATAAGGAGTATAAATGTTTAGAAGGCCTCTTATAGTAGAGAGTAAAGTTAATAGGTTAGTAAGGGAGGGGCCTTGCTATAGTAGCAAGAGAGTAGTTATTTAGTAAGGTCTATTAGGATAAGAATAGTAATACTATATTAGTGCAGGACAATCTAACAAGCTATTAAGCCTAGTCCTAGTACCTAGAATATAGTAAATAATAGAAAATGTTAAAGGATAGGTTTAGGGTTAGGATTTTTGCCCTTCTACTAAGAGGTAGCGTACTAAACTCTTTTATAGAAAGAAGACCCCTATAGGTCTTATAAGAATAGATTAAAAAAATTACGCAATGTAATAAGAGTGTTAAAGATATAGCTAAGGTAATTAAACTATTATTACTAAGCTATCTATAAGAAGAATAGCTACTAGGGGAGCTATTATTAGAAATAGTAGATAGTAGAGAACTTAGAGAGTATAACTTGCTAGATTTACTTCTACCTATAGCAGACACGTAGAGAAACTTTAAGATAGTATTAGATAATATAAACGTTCCTAACTCTTAGTTAGTAGCCTCCTAGCTATTAATATAACGTAGGGATATAGCAAAGTACCTATTAGTAAACTATACTAATCTATATAACTAATACTTAATTTTGTTATAAAGTAAGCTTAGCTAGCTAAGAGCAGGAAATTACTTAGCTAGAAAGTCCCTAGTTTACCTAATATAATAGCGTAAGTAGCAAATGCCCTATAGCTAACTAGTCTATTCTAGGTTACCTTAGAGCGTAGAAATGCCTAGTGGGTTGTTAGTGTAACAAGGCTAGGCTAAAATAGCTAGCGCTTACTAGATGCCTAGGCTAGACTTGAACAAGGTTCATGGGTTAGCGCTAGGGTCTAGCACTATTATCTTAGGCTAAGCTTAGCTAAGATATATATATTATACTATGCGAGGATTACTTAGCTTAAGTATTCTTGTGCGTACCTTTTGGACCATGGCCAAGTGGTACAGGCAGGGGAGATGACGTAGTATTCATTTCACAGGCAGGGCGCCTACCTTATTACAGTTAGTCCTCTTATACCTAGTATTTTAGGCGTAGTGTAGGTAGAAAATTCCTAAGGATTACTATAATTACTAGCTTTACCTATTATAGTTACTAGCACTTACTATACTACTATTGTCCCCTATTAACACTATTATAGTATTTGTATGTCTATAATTTTACGCCTCTTTTATAATTTCTAGCTACTTAAGGGATTAAATAGATATTACTAAATTACTATAAGTGTAGGAAACTATAGTATTAATAGCTATTATATAGCTTTCCCTAGTTTTAATAACTAAGTTTGCGTCTAGGTTTTAGTATTCCTTACTAAGCTAGCTTTTACTATCTAGCGTACTTTTGCTATCTAGCGTCCTTTTGCTAGTTTTAGTAGCAAAGTTTGTGCAAAAGTTTTAATATTCCTTACTAAGCTAGCTTTTGCTATCTAGCGTACTTTTGCTATCTAGCGTCCTTTTACTAGTTTTAGTAGTAAAGTTTGTGTAAAAGTTTTAATATTCCTTGCTAAGCTAGCTTTTGCTATCTAGCGTACTTTTACTATCTAGTGTCCTTTTACTAGTTTTAGCGGCAAAGTTTGTGCAAAAGTTTTAATATTCCTTGCTAAGCCAGCTTTTGCTGTCTAGTGTCCTAACGCACAAGCCAATTTTTGCGTACTTTAACAGCAAAAGTTCGCAAACCAATATCCTTAGTATAGAGTAAGCAATGTAGAATATATATAAAAACGTGCACACCCTATAGTTAGTAAGATAATCATATTTACGACTAAGCTACTAATACTCTAACTATAGCTAGATAGGAAAGGCAAGCACAATTAGTCTATTGTGGCGAGGACAATTAGTAACTCCCGAAGATTTAGCGCACCCTTTGGCTATAATAGGCGCTAATTGGCCTAAGTGTATACCTCTATTTCAATATATTAGTACTATATTAGCGGTATACAAGAATTGTGGTATGAAATGAATCGAAATACTTTCAGGAAAATTAAGACTATCTAAAATCTATTGCTTTTCTACTTGTCCAATTATCAAGGCGAATGCGTCCGCAGGAAAGTCAGATAAATGGAAATTCTGAACTGGACGGGCTTGAGTCAAGGTAATTGTTTTTGCGACAGAGTTTACACCACTAAGGCTCCGTGTGTAAAGGAGGAAAGTTACTTCTAACAACGAGCCATAAACTTCTTCTACTTTAATACCAAGCACATTTCCGCCAGTGATTGCAACGTTAACGATGGCTTTTGCAATGCGGATGCTAGTAGGTTGGTGAAGACATGAGAGTCGAAAAATTGCTGGGTTGCTGGGACCACTTGGTTGATGTTAGGTATAGACTGTAGCAGAGGGGCGGCTGCTGTACCGTTTGTTTAGAGGAACGATTTCTGGCGTTATAGAAACTTCCTTAATGGTTTCTGGGGCGCTTTCAGAAGATTAGCTATTATGCCAAATAACAAAAACATTTCTTACCTTCTTAACGCGGAGCTCAAGGCCGGCGAAGTGAACAAGGCAAATATAAAAAGTGGGTAGAAAGACCGCATTATAGTAGATACTTGGTAACGGAATTGAATGGTTTAATTGCGATGTCGTAAGGAAATTGTTATGTGCGTGGGAGTGATAGTTTATATGTGGACAGTCGTGATCACAGTGCTAACGAATGCATATGTGAGCGAAAAGGAGTTAATAGGGCAACAGTGATAGAGCCTATATTTATAGAGCTTAAGCTTGATACAAAATAATAGCAATTAGGATGCCTATGCTTATTCTAATTTAAACGTAATAACCATCCTTCATCTAGACTCTACACAAATAATAGGCTAATATTAAGCTTGGACTCTAAGTAAGAGTGGTAAGCACATATCTTATCCCCGTCCCTGCAAAGGGTTAGGGTTAGGGTTAAGCCTGTGCGATTCTATTTTAGTTAGGTTAGGGTAGCGCTTATAGTCTAACGTAAGTAGACTTAATCTATTCCTGCTTATATAAGAGCTAACCTAAGCCTATAGCCTATTTAACCTTTTTTAGTTAGCGTCTAGTAGCGCTTATAGTCTAAGGTAAGTAGACCTAATCTATTCCTGCTTATATAAGAGCTAACCTAAGCCTATAGCCTATTTAACCTTTTTTAGTTAGCGTCTAGTAGCGCTTATAGTCTAACGTAAGTAGACCTTATCTATTCCTGCTTATATAAGAGCTAACCTAAGCCTATAGCCTATTTAACCTTCTTTAGTTAGCGTCTAGTAGCGCGTATAGTCTAACGTAAGTAGACCTAATCTATTCCTGCTTATATAAGAGCTAACCTAAGCCTATAGCCTATTTAACCTTTTATAGTTAGGGTATAGTAGCGCTTATAGTCTAACGTAAGCAGACCTAATCTATTACTGCTTATATAAGAGCTAACCTAAGCATATAGCTTATTTAATTTTGTTTAGTAAGGTTATAGTAGCGCTTATAGTCTAATGCAAGTAGAGCTAATCTATGACCCCTATACGTGCAAAGATCTTAGGTACCCTCATAATAGGTTTAGGGTCTTACGTTATCTAACGTAACTATAACCTTATCTATCCTAATTAACTGCCCTAGTTACGCCCTATGGCTAGACCAAAATATGCCCGCTTCTTAATGGCGTTGCATCGCTAGCCTAGCGGAGCGTTAGCTCTACCCTAAGTAGCGTTAGCCCTAGCGCTATATATATCCATCGTGGAAGATAGATATAAGGGGTAGACTAATATTAAATAATGCATAACCATCCATGCGTGCCCTGTGCCCTATCCAATAATATCCATATCACTTATATCTTATGGTATCCACTTAGTCTAGTCTTACATGTAACCTACTTAGGTTAGGGAAGACTGCCTAATATTACCTAGGATAGTATAGTTATTTTAATTGTAATTCTCTATCTTGCCAAGCATAGACTCTATATATCTAAGCTATATTTTGATAGATACCGCACATATCCCTCTCTCCTTATTCTTGAATGCGTTTACTAAGCTTTCTAAGATAAACACTACGTCCTTGTTACACATAAAGAATCTACTACCCTAACTCCTTCTTCCACTTGAATTATACATCACCTCCAATATGAACTTATTCTGGGTCGCTGTTCTACTGTATAGTTTAGAAACTTCTATTGTTTACATCTCACTAACGTGTCTTTAGGCTCTGCTCTAGCGTGTCTGGGGCATACCATCGACGCTGCAAATGCATGAAGTACCCATCAACTAGGACTTCTAATGAATGTGCAACCCTATTCGTTTGTGGTGATTGGGCAGTTACTACTCATGTTAT